TTATATAAATCAAATGTAAAAGGATCAATGAACACCACATAACTTATCAGTCTGTTGCATTTTGGTTACTGACAAACCAATGAAGTTATGTCACAGCTGAGAAAAAACAGCCTTAGCAAAATTGGTCATATTAAAGGCCCTGGAAGGGTAAGTAGGACAAATTGTGGCTTGGGAATGACGGTAATGTAGATACAGACTTTATCTATATATTAGCTATATAATACAACTTAAAGAGACGTGTGGTTATAGCAGTGTGTAACTCTCACTATAAATATTACTAAATGGTAAGCTTAACTTGTTTGTATTTTCTTGAGCATTTAGTACAGCTTTGGACTGCATCAGTGTTTTGTTTTCTTTTTATTAATCTCCTGCTCTCTTCCCTTTACACAGAAGCAACTGCAAAAAAAGTGCTGACATTCAAGGTGTGAAGCGTGCCAGAGAAACCTGCAGCAACAGTCTCAATCTTCACTCTTGTTTCCTTGAGTTGCAAAATAGGATGAGAAACTGATTGTCAGTTATCAGCTTAAATGATAACAATTGATCAATAGCCAATCTACTTATGTGATTAATGTTCATTTGAGAAGTTGTGGTTCTTCTTCAGCCAGTTCTTTAAGGACAAACTTATACTTTGAGGACTCAAAAACTACACCCTGTGATAAATAGCAAAACATTGTTCTCATTTCTCTGTCAGGATATGTTTTTTTAATCCTCTTGTTCTTAACCAGGGAAACCATGTACATCATCACAGCATTAAATGACAGCATTTCAGTTTGAGTAATTTGCTTTGTCCCTGTTGTCTTCTGAGAAGTACAGTAAAGGCCAACCCCTCAGATTTTCTGACAACTTATCAGTCATCGCACAGAAACAGCTGCATTTCATCCACATGCTGTCTTCAGGGTAAAAAACAAAAGAGCTATGATTTCACCTCTTTTTTTCATTTTGAGTGTTAATGCCCTGCTTACATTTTTTCTCATGGGAAATGAATATAAGGACAACTGATGAGTTATAAGTTTAAGGCACTCTGCAGATTTGGTTGACGATAAAGAGTGAAAAAAAGACAGGAGCAGCTTACGTGCCGTGTGTCCTCCCCAGCCCACACTGACCTATGAACCTGATATGAATCCACGTTTAGATGTTTCAGATGTTCCGTGTGATTGTCAGCCAATGGCCAACATTCAGACACATTCAAATTAGATTGAATTTTGTCCTGAAACTCACTTCTCTTTATCTTAATTCTGCAAAAATATAATATAAAAGAAAGAGGATTAAAAAGACTTTGTATTTCAATGTATTTCCTGTTTCAATTCAGCTCATTGCAGCTGTGTATCCATTTATGTCAAACCACCAGTGTCTGTATCCCCACATCCCAATTTCCTATAGTCCACCTGTGGCTGTCTGCTGCATGGCAGACCTCAAACTGTACAGTGTCTCATTTCCCACTGCAGTGTCACATCTCATTCTGATCCGCAGGTGTGTACAAGTCCATACCCCCTACTTTTTCTTCCTGTCATGTTCCCTGGTTTTTCCTGTTGTAGAGGCATCATCCCTTATTCTCACTTTGTCTTTTTCTCAGTTTTATTCTTCTTCCTGTTTTTCCAGTAGAATTATTTTTATGTCCTAAGATGCAACTCATGAATGTACTTAATTTTGTGCATACTTTCCTATCCTTTTTGTGTCCTTTTGTAGGTTTTTCCATTTTTCTTTTTTTTTTGTTTCTACTTTTAGAGATTAAGGTGTAGTGACACAATATTGTTTTGCATCTGAACTGTATTTCTTCACTTGTCTGTTTGTGCATGTTGTTGCACCCCACAGTTCCTGACTGCAGGAAGGAAAGTGGAAGTTCCCTTCCTCCCCACATAATAGTCTGACCACAAACCAGCCCAGCATGTCACCCGGAAGCTTGTGCACAAAGAAACCAAGTCTTCCTCACTCAAAGTGTATCTGTATAAGAGGGTTAAAAGTTGGTTTCAGAAATCCAAATGAACGACTTTGTTTTAGTTTAAGTAAGCATGTAATGCATAGAAGCTTGGCGATCATTCATCTTCTTTTTTGCATGATTTGAAAATAAAGATTATGACCCTTGAGCAAGTGAGGTGGCATTGTGGAATGTTCCACATAGACAGGGCTCAGAAAGCACAGAGTTTCTCATGTTTAGAAGCCAGTTCGTTGCATACATCTTTTCCCAACATCTCATATTACAACAAATGCAAGCACCGCATGTACTTTGAAAAAGGTACTGCATTTGATACCATATTTCCACAGTGCTCCAACTAGTTTTAGTAAGTGCTAAAATATGGGTGTGTAATAGAAACCAAGCAGGCGTGTGGGCAGTAGTCATAGTCTCTGTTTGTGTGTGCGTGCAGTCATATCTTTGCCAGTGTGTGTGAGGGTTTAAGGGCCTGTCCAAACATCCACCTGGCTGGAAAAACAGGAATAAGACATGTCACCAAGTGATTGCACAACAGTTTTGAGGATTCACACAGCTTTGAAAAAGATCTGAAGCTGCTCCTTGTTTAGTGATTGAAATCAGTGGACATGCTACGCTGCTTGATAGCTGAAACTACACGCATCTTCTTTTTGAAGAAGATTTGAAAATTTCTTACTTTTTGTAAGTTGGTTCAGTGCCATTAAGGAATATGAGGGTAATAACTCATGAGAGAAAGTCTTACAGCTTAGTCACAAATCTGTTACAGCATCTCAGACAACCCACAGGCAAATGTAAAAATTTTCACAAAAACTTTGTGAATAGTGTAGAACAGATCACAACCTTATTCAATGACAACTTCTTTTTTCCACAGATATATATGTTAAATGGGTCATTTTCAGTATAAACAGTCTATTTAAAGTAGAATGTACAACATATATATTAGATGTTGAAAGCACTAGATTTGGCCACTAAAAAAAAAAAGATGTTAACTCATTTTTAAAATGATGGCAGCATGGCATCTCAGAAAAGTTAGTATTCTACATATATATTCCTATATATTTCCCACAGGACTTTCATGTCACAACAGCTCAAACTATGCAGAAACAGAAGAGATCAGTTACTTGTCTTCCAGAATAGAAAGCCTGTACTATGTTTGCGTGATAAGGGAGTCTACCTGTAGTCCTGGGTGGTCTTTGTTGTGTTTCACATTTAATGGCCAAATATATTCAGTCATTAGGGAAAGTTTTGGGCTGTGCGGAGGCCAAACTAGCATGAGGATTGCTGTACTAATGTGACATTCTTTTGCCATGGATGCCATCACTGGTTCATCATTGTACCAGTTAAATATGCAAAGATGTCTCCAAAAGAGTGTCTTCTGTATCAAAGCATATGTCGCTCCTAAATCTGTTGTGCATGATAGTAGTTTTATAGGTTCTAAAACACCATCATAACAACACAGAAGCGGGCCTTTGGACTCATCCCTGATAATAGAAACGAATTACTCATAATAATTTGGGTGGTTATTTTCCTATTCTGTCAAGGAAAAATGTGTTTCATCACAGTCACATTCAATGCAAATAATGCAGCTTACTACAACATGCAATGCCTCTGTTTGTTTCATTCAATTTTTGATGTTTCTTTTGTTTTCAAAATCGAAAAGTCAAAGGTTGATGACGGCTCTAAATGATTTTGTAGAATTCTTATTGACCTTGGGTACACATTTAATTGAAGGTTTTCTTTTTTTTTTAAGAATCGATGATAAGCATTTTACTATAAAAGCACCACAAAGCAAGGGCAGGTGTATCAGTCCTGTGCTGAAAGTATGACTCAAAAGGAGATAAGATCGAGATGGGAGCAAAACAATCAACTGACACGCAGGTAAATAGTGGAATCTGAAGATAAAAAGATACAGTTTGGGCTCTGCTCAGGCTTTTACACCTCTCAGTTTTGCTACCGCCTTAAGGTAGCTTTGATTTTCTGTGTGTTTGCTGAGTGAAAGTGTGTGAGTGAGTGTGTGCGCACGCCATAGATTAAAGAAGTAAGGGGGTGAAGGAGACTGCTCTGACATTTAGAACCCTCAACAGACTCTGGCATCCACCTGTTCATAGGCATCGCTTCAAGAGCAACAAACACCCGTCATTACATTCAAACCTGAGAGGCTGAAGTGTAACTGTGTAAAAGATTTAATTAGAAAGCAAACTATGTTTGACTCAAAATGTGTAAAGTAGCTGCTTAATGTTGGAATTCTATTATTTTTATCTTGCACAAAAAATATTAAATGATGTTTATGTTTATGTTTCCAATCTATTTTATGGTTTTAATGCTTTTTTCAAAACAATGTAAACAGGCAATACACTCATCTCAACAACTAAGATTTTGTTATATAAGAAATTAATTCATGCTCACAGTACACATTGCTGACTAAACTTCACTAAACACCATCAACTTTCCTGTTTAGCACATTTTCAGATTGCCATGCAAAATATAAAGGGCAATGTGATTATCAAGCTTAGAGGGTTGAGCGAATGACCAGAAGCCACATTTTAAAGTGTTTCACAGTCTTAAATGTTTTTTTACTGAGCAATTAAGAATTTAAAGCTTTTCTTGGTAAAAAAAAAACAAAAAACAAGAATGAATACAATTAAGTCTTTAACATTACTAACATGTCCAAAATAATTTGGGTTTCTATTATATGTTTCAGTCTCAGAGAGGCGTGGTAAAACAGCCTGAATTTTCTACGTTAAACGATTTAAAAAAAACAAACCCCATCAAAAACACACTTTCGTGGTGGGGATTTTGAACTAGTTTGAACATAACCTGAAAGATAAAAAACGAGAACCTGGTTCACCCCTTATAGTCTGGCCACTGGGATTGTGTGGTGCAGCAAACATTTGCTTACCATAATATTTCACCATTCTTATACTAGAATTTGCGTGCTAAATCGTATGATTCATCTTAATTCCCCTTTCTTAGATAACCTTAATCATAATACTTATTTACAGAGTGAAGACAAATATTTACTTGTTTTCAGGACTTTTTTCATTTTAAGGGATTAATATTCCGTATACCAAAACATCTCTTAGAACTTTATTTCTTAGAACAAAGTATTTCAATTACAAGTTTGAATGATTGAAAAAACAAAAACAAAAGTCTGACTTACATTTTTAGAATTTACAACACAAGCAAAGCCAAACACCAGATTTTTAATTGACAGACACTCATGCTTTAAAATATACATTTTTTTTTCACAGCGGTGTGTCTTCATGTAAGGTCATAGAAGTTAAAAAAACAGAAAAATATGGGCTGAGCAGTTGTCCAAATTTTATAACCACATTCAGTTTTATAAAAAAAGAAAGGAATTTCACTCATGTGCCTCTTTCCTCATATATAAATTGTTTTTAACAAAAATACACAACCTATGCAAATACCTGAGAGCCCTCACATAAGAAAGTCAATTTCAGAACAGATCAATCAGCACGCATTTGTTGATATTCTTAATATTCAGTGCAGATATTAATTCTAAAAAAATTCAACGCACCCGTTACCCCTGTCTTTTATAATTCTGTAAACATGTTTAAACTTCATAGACACACTGGAACATTTCAGCAGAAAAATAGACATTTAGCACACTCACCTTTCAAATTTACAAAATACATCCCCACAATCTGTAGCAACATCAGCGATTTAAATGTTCAAGTAAGATCCTCACTCTTATGAGGCCAATAGAAGGCTTTTTTTTGTTCGTTTTTTGTTCATATGGCTGCTTCAGTTAAATGATAGATAGATCGATAGATGTTGATTTTTCCAAAAATCAGGGTCTCATTATCTTACATTTTTAAGGATAAATAAAAAGGTAGGTTGTTTTGTAAAGACATAGTTTTTACACAGATAAGGCTTTTCATATAACAAATATGTACAGTAGTAATATCATGGAGGAATGTATAGTCAGTAAACAGCTGTAAGGTGTAAACAATTTCCAATGCCAAAACTATTCAAACAGTGGCCTTGTATGCTAAAAGGCAATCTGTCAACAGAGAAGCTGCCTTTTGAGTCAAAAAGATACTGAACATGAAAGCAAACATCATTAAGTTTTAACAAAAAGAGCAAACATCTGTAAATAATTTTAGAAAACAAGACATGTAAAACTAAAAATGATTTCTTTTGAGATCCGATACAGAAGTGAGTCTGTACATCATCACTGCTTCACTTTTTAAACAAATTACTTGTTCTCCTTTTTTCCCCATTGTATCTAAACTATCTTTAAAAAAAAGAAAAAAGAATGCTGCCTGTAGACATAAAGTGCATGACCAACTGTACCGGGCACAGTCTTATCTGATTCCTTTCACAGCAAGACCTGGCCTTATGGATCAGAATACGATCTCCTTCAATGTACTACAGTGGTAATGTTCTTATCGCCCTTTACACAAGCCTTAGATGTTAAAGGTTTATGGAGGTGATTTGGAACATTTGCTACAGTTTTCAGAAGTGCCTTCTGACTATTACTACTGCACATGGTGTGGCAACCACATTCCCTTAAGTTAGCCTCCTGCTCATGCTTTCCCTTTCTTGATCCTCGCTGTAAAAGGTCATACATGAGTGTGGTGACACTATGGCAACGCAACGAGCAAGACCCAGAGAACGAGGAAAAGTAACAGACATTAGTGTCTACGAGCTTGTTGGTGACATGGTTTTTAGAGAGAAGCCGAATCATCGGGGTCTATTAAAGCATAATGTGATTAAAAATTCCTGGGAGGTGAGCCGGCACAACATTTGAGCTTCAACTTCAGTAAAATATTTCTCTGATCATGATCTTCGAAAAGGATGAACGTGTTAACCTCAACACAAAGAATGTATTTGCTATTCTACAAAAAACATGAATTTGCAGAGCCAAGATCACATGGTGGAGCAGATTAAAAAAAACATAAAGGTATAAAGCATGAAGGGAGTTATATTAGAGAGCTTCCTGTGTTTTTCAGTGTCATAAGGCTTGTTACTGCTGCCAGGCAATCATCAACAGGCCATCAATGCTGTTTTCCACTTTCAAAGAAACAGTGATGCTCAAAGTTTGAGAATTTAATGCTGTGCAAGAATTTAAAGTCACTCATCAGTCACCAGGACGTAATTCTGTTCTATAAAACCACAGTGGAAAAAAACATAGTCAGTCACCTGTGTGAAATACCCAGAAGGCTAAAAGCAGAGAAAACATGTCCCAAATGAACCTTTTTAAGGTCACAGTTGGAACGAAGACGATTAGGCAACATTCTACTTCCTCAATTACTGTAACTTTCAGCGTGCTTTTACTTAATCTGTCACGGTTTTACCTGCCAAGCCTCAAATGACATGTGGCTGATTATGATGGAGAGAAGCAAGTGTCAATACAAAGCACAAATTGATTTTCAAATAAGACAAAATTTACAAATATATGATTATTGAAGAAAAATTGTCTGACTATATACTGAAACAACTCCAAATGGTCTAACATAGTTTTATATAAAAAACTGGAACAAGTATAAAATACTGGACTGCTGTTTATAATGTGATGGAATTACCTAAAATAATGACTAATTAATGATGGAAATGAATCATGGTGACTATTTCATTAAACAAAACAAATTATGAGAGGTAGCATCAGGTAGACTGTTTTTAGTGCAATTTCGGCCAATATATAAAAAATCTGATGCGTGTATCAGATATGGTATATCCAGTTAAAAAATGTGTTTGAGTGTACTCTTAAAGACCTATTTAAGGTGACAAAAAGCTCTCGATCAGCCAACAAATTGTGACTGTAAATTCTAAATTCACAAATTCCAATATACATTTGTAAATCTATTCTTTGTTTGTTTAATGACACATTAGTTTGCCACTAGTATTGATACTTCTTCTCATAGCATACATTTAATGCCTCCATTTTCTGTACATTATGCACCTCCAGATGATTACATTACTACCTTATCGTTTTAAGTTTTGATACAAAAGTAATTGCTGTTATGCAGTACTTTATCTTTCATTTCTTCATTCTGTGGAGCCATATATGTAAAATTCCAAAGGTAAAAAAAGTTCCAATACTTTTCTTCCCTGCTAATGCATTCTTTTTATGTTTTAGGGTTATGTGAAACCCTGACATTGTTTCTGGATCGACTGGAGCTCATTTCCAGTTAGCCCTACCACACAGTAAGGTATCCTGTTATATGTGTGTGTACTAACAAAGTGTCAAAAAGTGACATTTGTCATATTTAAAGCATGAGGAATGCAGAGGCAACAAACAGAAGACATTTCCAAATAAGCTTAGATGAATAAACAGGTAAAAACGTTTTTTTTGACATAGTGAAAAGAGACAGAAAAAAAATCTTACCTTCTTTGTTCTACATTGATTAAATAAGCAGAAAATGTTTCTTTGGCCCATACCTTCATATGATTTTGCAAATTGTGAATTCATAATAAGTAGCTTAAAATGAAGTCTTTGATTGTGCTACACTTGTCAGCAGTGTCATTCATCAATACAGTTTCAAAGGGAATAATGATGGATCGCAGGCCATTCCTCTGTTCATTTATTTCTCTTTTTCTATGGTTCAGATTCTTCTCCTCCATGAAACATCTTGTTACTGGAAGGTATGCTCCCCGCGGACTATGTGAGAAGAGAACTCATAGCGGTCTTTGCTCCGATGGCCGCAGATGTTGCATTCCAGTGGATCCCTGTATCCGTGGCAACCCATGTGGATTGTGTACATGACGTGGTCCAGGAAGAGCACTTGACAGTGCTCGCACTGGAAGGCTCGCAACTCGTGGCCTTCTCGTCCGAACACACGCACCCCTTCCTGGTTCACGGGCCTCTCCGCGGCCATCCGCATTATCCCCGTTACGACTCCTGCCCCGTTTCTGGGTGCCGCATCCCTAATCCGCTCACCTGAATAGACCACAGCGGGGATGGCTCGGGACCTAAGGCCGGGAGGGGCATTGCTGTTGTGGTAGCTTTGCCTGTCCTGAGGGCTGCTGCGAGCTGAGTCAGCAGAGTCAGCGCCACTGTTGTTGGGGGACCCCTCTCGTCCGGATTGTGGTGGCTTGTTTTGTCTGTTTATGGGAGTGGGGCCATTTGAAGTGGGGTGACTAGGGTACTCATGGGGTTGAGGTGGCTGCAGCCGAAGCGTCTCACAATTCCCGGCACGTTCCGTTCGCTGACCAATTGGGAGGACGTGGTGGAAGGGGGAGTTAACAATCGGCACTACTTCAGCCATTGACAGAGGAGGACCTGGGTGATGGAGGATGGGACGCAGAATGTCCGATCCCAGGTATGTCATGGTGTTGTTGATAGTCTGGTCCATCATATGAGCGGGTAGCAGCTCAGCCTGTTTTTCATACTTAACACCCATGTCATAGCCCATCTCAGGATAGCTATATCGAGCCATCTTTTCACCTAGAAATAATAAAGTACAGAGAATAGGCGATCAAAACTGTAACATATGCCAGAATGCAGGATACATATGCATATGAATAATAAATCCTGAATAAAAAATGGTAAATGTATTCTTGCTTTTATTCAGAAAAAATTAGGAAAACAAATATACACACCCATAGTGTAAGTAGGGCTTTCCTTTCAAGCCCTTCAACGTTTATTCTTACTGTTAATTCGGATCTTGTTTTTTTCTCTTTTTATTTTGCACTTTGTGTTCTAATCTAATGGGGTGGAAAGCCCCATCCATCTACTACAGCACTGTTTAACCCCTCTTGAACAGGGATGCGGTAAGCTGTTTCTTTCGATAAGAGCAATGGCAAAGTTACAGGTGTACTTAACCACAGAGTGAAAAACATTTCCTTGCCTTTCAGTCCTATGTTTGCTCTAACTTGCTAGTCTCTTGCTCTAATAGTGGGGCAAATAAAGAAAGAAAAAGAAAAGAAAAAAATAGTCCTCGCTAGAGAGGCAGAGCTAAACATTATCTGTAATGTATTATGTATGTTAAAGAGAGAGCAATCAGAATCAAAGAGAATAATAACAAAACCAAAATTGTGTTGTTTACATTTTTGTTTAAAAAGTGAAATCAATTGAAACATCTCATATATTAAAAAGTAATAGCATTCATGACACATAAAGAAACTGTAAACCTTTCAAAATGAAAAGATAAAATAAAACAACTTGAAACTCTTCCTTACGGTCTCTTCTTCTACACTAAATACATTGTGCTGTACACTCACCCACAAATTTCTGAGGGGTGGTGCTCTTCCTCTTGCCTACATTTTGCAGCCTTTCAATTACGGGAGGCCGATCAAAGGTAGTGATGCTGTTGGCCTCTGCCATGGGTCTGTCCTCTTTTGAAAAATCCCCTTTAACAAAGACAAAGACAATTAGAAACAAGAGAGAATGGGTCTGGCCCCTTTGTGGGCAGTCATCATTTCGAACTTGGTCATCTGTGGGGGCCTGGGAGCTTTAGGGTGCAATGCAGTATCTCACCATCTAAGCTGTTCATTAGGCTGTGCTAAGAACAACGATCTCTGACGTTGTCGTGGAGATCTGTGGGAAGTATTCTGTCGGTTTTTGTGTCACGGCCCAGAGTGCGCCGATTGCTACAGATAACGTGGTTACCCTCACTTCTCACATCTTCTCTGCTTCCTCTTTTAGCCCTCTGTCCGAACTTGGTGACCCGTAAACATGCTTTCTTTATAAATGTTACATTATTTTCATCTATACTGACTTTTCGCCATGATTGATTTGATTCATGATGCTGCATAGTTTCAATCTTACCTGTGTACGGGCCAGGGTTGACAGAGGGATCCAAGCTGATACCCTGGAGGTAACTGTGGCAACGCTCTTTGTGCTCCTCCAAGGAAGTACGTTGCTTGTAACTCCGTCCACAGTAGTTGCACTTGTGGGGTTTGCCTACTAAAAGTAAAGGCACACAAAAGAAAAACTTTGAATTTCAGTGCATGATGCACAGTAAGTAGCGTTCAGTGTGGTAGAATTCGGGTAGTACATCTGTGAAAAGCACAGCTAAAAAAAGGTAACTTTTCCACATTGCGAAGGTTTCAATACTAGTCTAAGGATTCACACAACTGTTGCGAGACTGAAACAAAGGTTGTGGGTTACATAGATAGTGGTGCCATGAAGTGTACATTTCAAAATGCTTTGGTCTGTCAAACACAAAGCAAACTCCCACTGCTGCAGCACAGCATGAGTAAATAACAGAGATGATAAAGCATCCCATAATGGTGATTGGAAACCAACTCCAAGTTAGACTTTTATGGAGGTGGAGTGTGATTCATTGTGCCATTTCTTTTTTATTCAGATCCTTCCTACCTAGACAAACAGAAAAGATATATATTTTTATGTATCCCAATAAAGTAAATTGAACATCTATCCTTCCACCAGTCCACTGTTTTCCAATGTAAACTGAATAAATAATTTGGTTAAAAGATTAATTAAGACAAATGGTTGATCGCTAAGCAACATGCTCTGAACAATATCTAATTAAGAATTAAAAAACGAAGCAAAACTCATACCAACACTGCTGAGGTAATAGTTCTGTGTCCTGTATTAGGGTACTCTCAAAACTAATGTTATGACTCATTAGGAGAGTGAGTGAGTAAACCGAAGGCCACATAAGCATACTACTGAGAACCAGACACTGTCACATATGGAAGTCGGCAGTTCACAAACTGTAGGAGGGCTTGTACTAAAAAGACATTTGAACTTATCAAACAGAGGTGAGTAAGATCAGAATATTCCGCAAACTATAAATGTTACGTCATATTTCCTGAGCAATCAATTGGATTAAGATTTTATGAGTATGAAATTAAACCCACTTGTTGCAAAAATGACGAACTAGTTGTGACCAATCTTACATCAGCAGGCACTTGTTTTTTTTCCCTCTGATGTATGTCATTCAGTACTTTTGTGGTCTGTGAATAACACTGTAGGCTGAACTAGAAATGATATGCTACAAGGTTTCTATATTAGCTGTGTGTAGGTAGCTGAGTGTGCAGGGTCATAGTAGCAATATTCATTCTGGGTAACGAAAATGAATTTTCATGATGGAAATGATTCTCTGTGCTGCTTTCCAGCCATGACACTAACAGTGGAGCATTCAGCGTTCGCTTACTTGTTTTCAGGTTGCTCAAATGTGCATGCTTCTCCACATACACAAAAACAATTTGGAGTTCATAACTTTTACAAAGAATATATTCATATAACCAACCCCACGCAACCTTGTGCAGATGTTGGAGGGATCTGAAGAATCCACCTTTCAGCTGTTATTCTTTTTTTCGTATTCAATTAAGTGACTATATTTGGCTAATGAATTGCATATTGGTTGCAAATGTAAACTTTCAGTCAAACACACATTTATTTTGGTACACTTTTGGTACACCTTATCGTTTGGCCCAAGACCAGAGCAGCTTCTAAGCACTTTGAGATTGAGGAAGTTTCTGGACATAAGTGCCTGAAAATGTATGCAGGATGGCAACAAACATAATAAAAACTAGAGGCAGATTTGGCTGATCGTGCACAACAAATTGGATAGAGAGACAATTAGATATACATGGAAAACTGACTTACAAGCACAGAAAAAGAGAATCAAATAACTCACTCACAGATGCACACAATGCATATAAAGAAACATGGGTGTGCGCCCAAAAACAAAAAGTGCCTCCATCTAAAAAAAGAAAAAACTGTGCATGCGTAGCCTGTGCATGCGCTTCACAGACAGAAATTACACTGTTGTCTGACCTTGATTTCAAAGGCGAAACAAAGGGGAGAGCCCATCCTCTGATAAGAAAGTGGGTTAACAGTTGAGAGAGACTGCACGACCCATGTGCTTCTGAACAGAAAGTTTCCTCAAGTCAAGCAGCGCAGAAACAACTCGTCCTTGGAACCTAACCACAAAGCACTCAGCGATGTCTGTAGCATGCCCACAAAAAACATTTTTTTCCAAAAACACGAGTCTCAATTCTGCATCTGTCTCTGAGTCTCGCAAAATATTGCAGGAGAACACAGAAGAGGCTTCGACAAGATGTTAAGATAGTTTGAAAATGCCAAAAAATAATAAAAAGAAGAATGGTGGACATCCAAAAAGCAGCACAGAAGACCACTGCCATGAAACAAGCTATTTCGTAAAAAAAAAAAAATGACATAGGTTTGTCTAAATATATAACTACAGCTTCTTCTTTGCTTATCTCTTAAAAACTTCTGGTGATACGACAAAGTTCCTTTTGGGTAGTAGATATGAGTGTGTAAAACTGAAAGAAAAGAGGCTTACCAGCATGAGTGCGCAAATGACCAGTGAGGGCATCGCGGCGCCGGCAGGCATAGTTGCAGAAGGGGCATTTGAAAGGTTTTTCACCTGTGTGAAGCTTGATGTGTCGCAGCAGGTTTCCCTTTTGGGTGAACGACACACCACACTGGTTGCACTGGAACGGCCTCTCACCTTAGAGAGGGGAGCACAGGAAGTCAGTATTTCATTCACTTTAGATGGTGGCTTTCAGAATCTACTAATTATTCTGGTGAGGTTTTTTTTCCCCTCTACAACTGGATTAATTCAACCTAAAAATCACCAACTCATTTCTAGGATATTCTATATTTCAGTAATGAAAAATGTATTAGGCTGCATAGCTTAGGTTGAAACCGAAACAATGGCAATCATAGTAATAAGATAACAAATACAGCACAGATTTTTCTTGTACATTTGTGTTCTGCAGAGTCAAAGGTTTGCAAGACTGATTCACAGGGGAGCGGGACTTATTCCAACTTCTTCCAATTTGTGAATTTTCAGACTCCGTAAACGTAGTACATCCAAACATTATAGATATGCAAAATGATGTACAAACATATCCATTTGTATTTTTGTTGGATAATGATTTGAGATGTCCACGCCAAAAACAAAAGAAAAAATCACCATAGTGGTAATAAAAATGCTATTAGACTCTTAAATGTAATTAATAGCATTTTAATGTTTATTGTATTAACCAGGAGATTCTAAAACAAAAACTTGATTGTTTTGCCTTCTTTTGTCCATTTAACCAAGCACATTCACAAATAAGTGCATGTTGTTGGAAGTACGTGTGGCTTTCTGTCTCATGATGTGGGTGTACGCTGGATGTGCTGTTGTGAGGAGTACTGTCTCCTGTGTTACTGGAAAATCTTTTGATCTTCTGCCATTTAAAAAAAATAGAAATGTGATCCAAATGTGGTGACAACCCAAGCAGTCGTGTCATCAGCTGAAACAGGTTGTGGAAGATTCCAAGGATATTCCCTTCTAGATAATCACTCAAAAGCTAAACTATGTTCTTTGTCTTGAAATAAAAACTCCACCTAGTGTTGAGGGAAAAAAAAAAACGTACTCGTCTTGGATAGGATAAGAAAGTGTTTTGGTAGTCAAGTAGTCTATCAATGCCTGAAAATGTTCATGAAAGATGCCTGAAACACGAGGCAGGTTTTCACCACGCTCATGATGACATATAGAAATACACAGTTTTTACCGTTCGATTGTCGATTTCCTGCATCAGCTGATTCATTTGTCCCTGATAAGTCATTCTGTTCATTGCCTGGGCTGCCAGCTAGACATTCTTCCTGTGCTGCTCCTTCTTCCCCTGTTTGGCCAATTTCTTCAGCTGCCGGGTTGCTGTTGTCAACTTCTTTTGCTATGTCTTCTTCCTGCTTAATTTTCAGCTCTGTAAAACAGAATATGTGACTTTCCTGACCTGCTCACTTTACATATTCAATGTTCTTTTATCACGCAACACTGATAACAGCAATTGTGAGCTGATTACACTGATCGGCTTACGTTATGCATGGCTATGTTAATTACATTGGAGTTCACTGCTCTGTTTACCAAATTTGAATGAAGGAAGGGTCCTTTATACAAAGGACCTGACATATAAAGCCATAAAAGCTTGAGATTGTTTCTGCAATTTCTAGCAGTGGACGAATGGACCAAAGTTACGAATGGAGAGAAAAAAAAAAGATTTTCCATAATATGCTTGCAAGTAAGGAAGCAAAGAGGATCGACAATGTGACAAGAAGACACTGGAGACAAATAAACAGGCTGGTCTGGTTTCTGGCTGTCCCTGGGGAGAAAAGGAGTGCCAGAGGCCCATCGCTGACTGCTGCTGACTAGCAATGGGAGTCTGGTTGGATGACAAGGGCAAAAAGATTGTGCAATAGTGTGTGTGTGTTTGTGTGTGTGAGTGAGAGAGAGAGAGAAAGAGAGCACATGTATGTGGAGGAGGCAGGTGACGGGAAAAGTACCCCCAGCAGTCTCTACATATCAGTCACTCTTACTAATGTAAGGTAATGCTAGTAAAAAAAAAAAAGATCTTACAAGAGAAAACAGTTTATCTGATTGAATCTTAAAGTTACACAGCCTGGTATCTCATTCACCTATTTTATTTCTAACCTTCATTTAGATTTTAAGTGATAAAGCACCATAATATATTTTTTTCTAGTTTACATTTAAGTAACAAAAAACACAAAACCATGTGACAGTGTCACTTCCTCTGATAATAGAGAACTCTGCTATCCTGTGCAACATGACATAGCAAGAGGTGAACATATGTAGACTATAGATGAACAGACTAATGAAAAATGACCCATCTAACTAAATGACCGACCATTAAACTCAGCCAGTATCTGACTGTAACCCATTACATTAAATTCATTCTTAAAATGGTGTGGTACATTAGGGAAAGTTGTATTGTAGCAGTTTGAATTAGGCTTTTTCTAAGGTCCTTTCTGTGTTGTGTAACAAAATTTGACTGGATCTGTCCCCTGCCGCCATTTTGATATTGTTTCCTCTGCAGCTAAAGCAGAGGACTTCTGAGTATCATACTGTAATCTTTTGACCAGTGTTAAGTAACTCGAGGAAAAAATATAGTCAATGGGTTCACGTGGATAAGAAAGAGACTTTATGTGGAGTAAAACAGGCATACAAGCAAACACACCTCTGGACACTCTCCAAGCATAACTCACTGATCCTGATGATCCTGTTTTGGGATTTACAGGGGAATAAGTGCGAGCATACGTGTCCGTTGTTTCACTAAATCCTTCCACTTCACTGCATCTATCAACTGTTCTTAGACTTTGTAGCACGACCCACTGAAATCTCAACGCCTCGCAAAACAAATAAAGAAATAAAGCTTTTTATAGACGTATGGTACAGATCTTGTTATAGAAACTGTATTCTGTAAGCTTCAACTGTATGTTTCTGAAGTACAGAGGAACTCATCCCAATACCCACGTCAAAATCAAGCTTCGTCTTCGCCGGCTGTAACCTGGCAACACAGAACAGACCTGAACGTCCTTGCTATTCAGCGCTGTGCATCTTTACATCTGTCTCTCCATTGTTGCAGAAGGGGATGCATACAGTGGTCAAATGAGGATATGCTTGAATATTGTCTGTGCAGGAAAAAATACTGGATACCTTTACAACCGCCCAACATACATTGTACTTCTGCTATGTCTCCCTATACAATATGAGGCAGCTGTTGTTTTGTAGCAAAACCCTAAATAGCAAATTATGAAGCGTCATTCAGAATGAGCACAGCACTATATCTTCCTCTAAACAAAAAAAAACAAAAACGTTTCCCTGCCTAGCTCTTCATATCTTTACAACTTGTTGGGGGGAAAGTTCCCCTTTTCTTGCTCAACTGCGCAGTCTTACTTGGTTTCCTCTTTTTTGTCATTTTCTTTTATTTTTTTCATTGTGACATTGCATGAAACCATCCGAGACATTTGGTTAATAGACGGATGAACCAAGAAAACCTGCCAGACTGAGGTCACTGTAACACAGCGTGCCACATCTTTGTTTAATAAATAATTATATTATTATCATAATTGTTATGGTCCACACTTTGACAGCATATTACACATTGTCTAGGCTCAACAAATGGCTTTACAACGTGTTCCCTACTCATCCCTGCCAAAGAAAACGTGGGCATGTGTATGGTCTAGGAACTGAACCACTACTCTTCAAATCAGAAGATGATATGTTTTTAAACCATATGTCAGCCAGCCTTTTTGCACTGCTGAAAATGAAATAAGTGCAATATTTTCTCTAAGTGATGTATTCGTATGGAGGATACGATTACATTTAAGTATCAACAGCATATGTGAATAGGGTTGTTGCTCATGTCAGACTGTGGAGATGCGTATACATTTACTAAGCACTCACCACGGGGGGAAGTAGGACCTTGAGGAACTGTTTGTCCATTAGGTGCTGACATATCCGCCAACATTCTCGAGTTCTCCTTACCGGGAGAGCATTGCCCGTTACCTGGGAGACACAGAAACAGAGTCATCTTCATTGTGCTGTAAAATAAGGCAGTTGTTTGAAAAAGACCTCTGTTGTGTGGAGAGTAAAGAAAAATCCTGTTTGGCGGTTAATCGTGTTAAGTAACCAAAATCTAAGGGTCAATGTAAAATGTGAAAAGCAAGGCTGATGCGAATAACACATTGCATAAAAGACAGGGACAATGAATCGAGGAAGAGCTTTAGTGGTGGATCCTTGTGAAAATTATAAACATGAGCCTTGCAAGATGTTTTCCCTGCTCATTAAACATCTTTATTCATTCTCAGATCTCCCTTTAAAGCTTAAACGAAATAAGTATGAAGAAGGGTCCACATGCAGGGTGTCACTAACTGTCTTTATGAACCTCTGGTATCCTGATGTCCAGTAAATGTGGATCAGATTGCATCCTCTCAGCGCTCTGTACTGAACCCAGGTTACGGATAGCTAGAGTCCACTCAGAGGGAGAGCGAACCAATCCCTTATCCCCTTACACTGTGGCCTCATCAGGGTCACTAGAACAATATAGTGGCAACAGGTGAACACTCCCTCTGACCCAGGTGTCAGATCCCTTAGGAGCCAGAGGGAGTCATTACTAAGCCCTAGCAGGTTACTAAGATTTGAAAAATAATTGGGAAAAACTGTTGAAAAAATGTTGTCTCAATGATCTGACTGCCTAATTGTCTGCAAAGGAAGAAAAATCAACTGACGGTGTCACATGGTACATGTGAAGGGATGCCTTGTAACACACTGTGCATGTCTGAAATTCTCCATCATACATAGAATAGAAATCAGAGTCATATCTCCCAATGGCTGATGGTTCGTCTTCTGTCTTTGAGAACCTCTTCTGAGGTTTTGTTCCATTACAGTGACAACCTCACCGAGTGGGGCTTACTGGGAGACATAGTCCATGACACAATCCCTGTACCAGGGTTCGGGTTGCACTTGTTGGGGTTGGAGGAAATCTCAGGTGACCAACACAGGCTATCCCTTGGCAATGCTGTCCTAGAGACAGGATGGCCCAGATTTGCCATGAAGGTTTTCCATTAGTATTTTGTAACACATGCTGAGAGATACTAAGCAGCAACATAGTTTAGCATAATCAAGCTTAACCTAATAGTTTTGGAATGCCTTAGTCTAGTATCCCAAGTATCCCATCTAGTATCTAGTATACACTAAGATGTTAGCACAGGGATTAATTCTGTTCAATTCAATTCTTTAACATTGTAATAATATAGTTGCAAAGATAAATAATTAGGACTTAATGTGAAGAGTATAATAGGAATTTGTCCTGCTTGTCTCACATTTGTTAAAAACACATTCAGCCTCAAGCTTATGCTTTAATAGACTGAGTCTAAGGTTTGCGTTGGTTTTCTAAATTTGCTGAGTCAAACTTAAATGAACAGTCAGAACAAAATATCAATCAGATATGACTTGTTGGGAAAAAGATATTTTGAGTAATGCTTTTAAATTATTGATTTAATGTGCTGACGTGTGGAAAGGAAAATATGTGTACTCTTGAAACTAGTAGGAGTTATAATTGATGACTTTACTCTAACTAAGTGAGTGCTTGTATAGCTTCCTACGTCCAAGCATTCTCCTAATAATCTATTTTGAACAAAATGTCTTGTCTTAGAATTTGTCTACAAGAAATCTCATACATTATTAAAGATGTATCTCTGTTATAAAACAATACACTGTCAAATGTATTCAATATAAGAAATGATCGTGTTTGATCTGACTGCTTGTAATCATAGAAAAGATGATCGGGCAAATGCATCCATTCTGCCTTGCTCCATGTGTAAAAAAAAAGCCATTTTTAGACCAATCAGCTGACAGTCAGAATAGATTTAACCTATGAGAAACTACTTTCATTCTCTGAAGATTAGCTGTGTAATGTAATATATTAAAATTAGAATATTTTCCCAAACATAGGACCTGGGGAATGACTTTACATAACCCTAAACTGTTGTAGTGACACAGTTTAGCATCTATTGCAGCATGACAGTGGGTTTATATCTTCAAGAATGAAGGACAGTTGCTTTGTCTCAAACAGCAATATGTGCATGACTAAGTCCTCTCAGTAATCCAAGTAACAAAATATGTTAGAGTGTTAAAAAAAAGAGTGTGATCATCTGACAATCTGTGTGATGGATTATAATTGCAAATGTGAGAGATAATGAAAGCTAAAGAGGTGTGTGAAAAGCTATGACTTTCTTAAAGGATTAAACAAATGACAGACCAGAGCGTGAGATGTGTAGTCTTAATTTTGTACCATTGATCAGTGTGAAGTTTTTTCCAGCAGCAACCAAAGTTTCTGGGGGCAAAAAGTGCTCAAGTCCAGTCAATTCAATGTAAAGCTCCATGAATCAAATTCTTTGTTAACTTCTTAATGTACACGCTGATTACCAAACTTGTAAGCTGATCAGAAATTGAAACCAAAAATGGTGAGTATCATAAAAATACATACATTGACAGGCCGAGTGTCTCATACTACTACTCTGACTCACAAATGCTATTGCTTCAGTTACAAATGAATGAATGTGAACATTTGTAACTTTGATTAAATACATATTTTTGCAGTCTCCCTTTCACTTTCCAGTTAAATGAAGTGTCACAACAAGGCTTTAAGGTAGCTAAACATTTGTCCACCAGGGTTAGGGTTAGTCACACATGAGTATATCTATAGTGTCCAAATTCTTGATCAGATATTTTTTCTTTACTTGTTATTGGCTACTTTTAATAAAAATATTCCCTTCCCTTTCTGGTTATTTATATTACAGGTGCACAAGAATAAGCTCATATCATATAGAATAATGAACAGAAATGGGTACCAAAGAACAAACATCCATGTGAAGTTGAAACTTTTGATTAACAGAGGTTGACTCATTTCAAGCCATTTTCTACATTTTTCTTTCTTTTATTCATTAAACAAGGATTTAATGGGATCTCCACAGAACCTTGTGCTTAACCAAAACTTCATTTTTCATTACTGTGTGGTGAAAGACAAAATCTCTTTCACCAAACACATCAAAAGAACAGTCCGGAGGGAAATTAAATTTGATTTCTAAAAGATGCAATTTTACCAAAACACAAAGCTTCTTACTTACAACTTCCTTCACTGTATCAATAGGTACTCAATGTTAAAATAGAAAACTCTATATAGGTCAAATCTTCTTTTTATTGAAGTTTTGCATTTGTATGATTTAAATTTAATGTCATATATGTGCACAATATCTACTCATGAAGTAGTTTTGTGTCGAATTATTGTTATTTTAATTTAGCAATCTGAGTAGCCCCTGTAATATATCAATCTAGGGTGTCTGTATCGCTAACAAGTCAGTCTCAGAAGACTTATACAATCTTCAGTTCACTATGATGACGTCTTCCAGATTAAGATCTTTGTCATATGATATATTCAAATTGTGTTAATTAACAGCGTACCTTAATTTCACTGATAATTAGCCACCCAAACAGAACCTTCCTGCTCATCAAGCCAGAGTCAAATTTTTTCTTTCGATTCAATGGAGAATACAAGTGTCCAGTTTGGCAACACTTGGTATGGCACTATAAATTCTGTGCTCACTTTCAAGATGGAAGAAAAACAAAGCGTGCATCTGAAGATGACTTTGTATTGATAACATCCTTGTTTGGTATCTGAATGCGTTCTGGCTGCCTTAACGATGAGTTTTGTTCCAGCAAACTTTAAAAAATGCAACAAACATTTTCGCTCTCATTTTTAGAATAGACAGAATTTAACGTTGTAGCTTATACCAGTTTCAGAGACAAGAAAAGCACGAGTATACAGTAGATGAGTGCACATTTTGTGCATAGTAATGTATCAATGAGTACTGTTTCAAGGTGATAGGCAGAAAAGTGCATTTGCATTGGATGACTCGAAGATATAATGTAATGAAGAAGAACTGTACAGAATATATATTGAAACTATTAGAGCTTCAAACGTGTACGATGATTTGTGTTACAACGAGTTGAATGCATGACCTACATTTTTACACGGAGTCAGCAAAGCCTAACCAGAGCACGGGGGGATACAAAACACGCGGGAGAGGATATACAGTGTCGTATTCCTTAAAACACAAGATTTCTGCTTTGTCATGTTGAAAAATATACTGGTATTTGTTTCTAAAAAATCAATTCAGAATGGGGCCCATAGATGGACAGAGAGGAAAAGGCTCCTTTTCTCCTACCACCTCCACCCAGAGCCCGCCTGACAAGTGTTCCTACAAACACAAACCCCCAATGGAGACCCAAAAGTCCCCACTGATGTCATCAGCAATATGCTACCTGTTTTGAAATACACATACAAATGCAAGAGCAAGAGTGGGGTGGGGGGGCAGGGAAGAATTTCAAAAGATCTACCCAAAGGAAACCAGCAAAGGGCAATGGAGCACCACAAAGTGCATATCCAGTATATGCAGCATTCAACAGGATGTTGCTAATGCATCATTTTCTCTACCTTTAAGGGGTGAACAGGAAAAAGCCTGCACATAGGGGAAAATCCCTTAAAATGTTTATCAAAATGTGATTGCTTTTCTTTTTATTATTTATTGTTATTATTGTCATGAATCTATTCTTTGGTTTTGGAACGGTACTGAAGTCAATAAAGTCGAAACATAAAGATTTGCTTGTCATTTTCTGGTCATTGATGGAAACATACAGACCATTATATGTGTGTATACTTTGTACTTGCTTATAAAAAGTGCAATGTGCGAGCCATTTATGGACTTACTTGCAGAATAGTCTTCGGTAGCCTCCATTTTAAGCTCTTTGGGAGTGCTGCAAGATCAAAAGTTAATATTTAAAAAAATATTCAAAGATTTAAAAATGTATCATTGAAATACTAAATGGCCATTTGCATTCTATTTATTTTCTATCGTTACTGACAGACATCTTTATCTAAATAGAATGGCGATAGAAACTAAATTGAGAGCCACTAAGTAGCTTTTCACCTGCATCGAGTCATATGTGAATTATAACAGCAGCACGTCTGTGCACACTTCTTTTTGGAGAAGCAGTACTGTATATTTAGCAAGCTGCCCTCTATTTCAAATGTGTGAACAGAAATGTTTTAGTTTCACATTCTCTTTGTCCAAAAATAGGTTCTCTAAAACATCCATTACATTATTGTTTAGATGTCCACTCTCTTTTTTCTGCCAGTACATGGTACCGATCTACTACATGCTGGGGTTAAACAAACCTAGTAGATTGAAAGGTAAACTGAAAAAAACAAAATATATATCAATAAAATGTTTGCTTTTGGATACTTAAAAGAAGCAAAATAACCAATTTTGACTTACATCACATTCCTTTGTCTCAAACACAGAGCTAGTATACAGAGAAATTAACATTTTTATCATTACCGTAGAAAATATTACAGGAAGAGGGAAATCAACCAAATTTCAGTATATTAAATACACAGTTTGTTTTTAAAACTTCATGTATAAGAGGCAAGAGTGTAACAAAGCGGAACTTGCCTGCTCATGTGTACTGTATCAAACCATTGTTTGAGGCCTACTTTAACAAGTAAGACTTAAATCGTTTCATTAGAAGGCAAAAAACATTCGAGCCAAAAGCAGAACGGTCAACATCCTGGCTCAGTTTCTCTTATTCACCTTATTATATGTTTCTAAAAGTAGTTTGTCGAGATAATTGTCAGCCAGACTTCCAGTTTTCCTTATAGTTCTCGCCTTTAAAAGAGGCTGTCTAATGGGGGAGTCTCTACAGAAACAGCAAGTTGGTAAACAATATGTCTCAAATTCTGATTATTCCTGCATGATCATATCCGCTCCAACTAAAAACCCTCGAGGTCAAAAACAACAGGATAAACTATAATTTAATCAACACAAAGGAAAAAATAACAATCAGGATTAATATAATTACCTTTAAGAGTCTCCACTGCACAAAGTGTGTTGGTAATTTCAGTCAAGGATGGAGGGGGGGGGGGTGGTAGTTGTCTCCACCTCCCTTTCAAGAAACAGAGAGAAAAATTAATGTTTTCGTCTGACGGGATGTCACAGTGGGGGAAAAAAAAAAAAAACCTTTTCTACATCAGTAGGTATCCGTGACTGCAACGAGAATGAGAAAACTTCACGTGAGTAAGTTCGAAAAAGGCAGGCAAAAGTTGAGGAGGTGCGCATCTACAGGTGACTGGCTGTGCCAAAAAGCCTCTTGTGCGCGCCCCCCTCTTCAAGATTTCCACTTAAAAAAAGCGACACCGACGCCGTCCCATCGAGATCTACCCGGACTTAAATCTAAACTTCCACTTCATTAGACGTCAGGCACCTGAACTGAACGTAGCACGGCGAGCACAGTCCGTACAGTAGGAACAAAGAGAGGGAAGACTCAACAAGTTGGCGAGGGAAAGAAAGAGAGGGATGGATCAAACTGGATCCACCGGTTCCTAAGGAATTAACCATAGCGACAGGGAGCAGCCAAGCTATTTTCAACAACTAAAGGGACTGGAAAACGGGCGGTAGGCAGTGCTGAATAGCTTCTGTGGAGATGTGACTCAAGGTCGAACCGGTAGAGCCTCTGTCACACTTTTACCGCCTCTAGAGAAAATGACAATAATGCTTGTGAGGTGGCAAATTATATCATCATATCAACCCGAAGAAACTCATGACAGCTCCCATGTTGAGATCACACGACCACCAACGCAATGAATCGTCCCATCACGAATATCAGCTATGAAAAATAAAGGATATATCCATTTTTTTTAAATGTAGGCTATAGGCCTACATACTTTTAACCCTACTTCCTAGTTGCTTCAAAGCGATAGTTTTTAGGAAGCCGGATTCTCATTCAGCATTAGAATTTGCGGATAAGCTTGCAATTTGGTTATTTTAGAGATACTTTAGCTTGAGGACGGAGTCCATTTACCTGCGGCCAAGCGCATCTCTCAACAATCCACCAGAGACACAAAAAAAACCGTAACGCAAACTCGCCAATTCTCTAGCAACGCGCTGTTTTTCCTCGGTTTTTTTTTTTCTTTTTTTTTTTTTTTTTTCTTTCTAGCTGGCTGTGATGCCTGCATGGCTCTGAGCTGACTGACAGCTGCAATTCAACAGGTTATCCGATCACCGCGTGTCACAATAGAGCCCGTCTGGTTTTTCCGTTCATCAGACAGACGCACCTTGTCTGCCTTTGGTGCAGACATGCGCCCCCCAGCAGCCCCGAAGCGTCTGCAGAAAAAACCCAACCATCTGAATGGACAGTAAAGCCAATAGACCAGGTAAAGCAAAGGGGGACCGACGCCCGCAGTTCTAGGTGTCTCATTTACCTTAGACGCGCAGGAGTTTATATAATCCCACGAACTTGCACATCGATCCAGACGGCATGTCTCGGTTTGGAATTGGGTTCATTCCGGTCCGACGTGCAGCGCGCAGCGCGGGCAGAAAGGTGGTCGGTCCCGCAAAGCAGGCAAAAGCAACAGTTGTTCTCGATCCACCGCTGACTTCCTCCTCCATCTCCTCAAAAGCGCGGCGGCAGACGAGAGGGAAGACTACCCGCACGGGTTGCTATTCTGGGAAACTGGTGTGACACAGAGAAACGGATCAGACAGTGTGGACAGCTTTTGCCTCTCAGCTCGGCGATCGATTAGGTTACGCGGGGCCTCTCATCTGTACCACTTTATGTCCCCGAGGCTTTAATGGATAAGTGGTGAACTCTAATCCAGATATTTCCTCTTCGCACAATGGTGTTCTTTATAAAAAAAAATACATATATATATATATATATAAAAACACATGCATTTTAAAGTCATAATGATTTGCAAAGAAACAGCCACGCTGATAGGATGCAATTATAGCCAACAACATTATTGGAACACCAGCAGTCTGGACATCACTTTAAATCTTGAAATGAGCATTTTGGATATTTAAATTTAGCCCCTTCTCCAAGACCATGCAACAAAATAATTAGTGGATCTGACCGAGAACCATGGAAACTGCACAGCTTTTGAATCACGAGACGGATCCACTGTAAAGTAGACCCTCCATAAAAATAATAAGCTCTTAAGGTAATTGGGAGAGCAGTTTGCCCAAGTTACTGATCAAGAGGAAAATAAAATGCTCACATAGATTTCTGTAGAAGTAGCTGTTTACAGTCACAGAATTTGCATGCATGGATTCATCATTATTTCAAATAAAGAAGTAAAATAAAGAAAAGAATGGTATTCCATCACACATTTTATGCAGTGTACCTCACAAAGCAAGACCCCATTTATTACTTTGTTACATCTTCTTTTAAAAACAGCACATAAATGACCACAGAGACCCCCTCTGACACACACAAACACACACACATACGCACACACACCACCCCAACCCCAGGGAAAGGAAAGGAAAGTTACTACAAACTTGAGCAGGATTTTACCTGCTCAACATCCCTTTGTCAACTTTTGTTTTGGGATGCCAAGCACCCAGCCAGTCAGACTCTGGACTCTATTATGAAGCCATGCTGTTGTAGTAGATTCATGAAGTGGTTTAGCACTGTCCTTCAGAAATTGTAAGCCCTTAATTGAAAAATTAAAGTTGTTTGACTGAAAGTGTAGATCTAAAACCATATGCATACTTTTCAGCAGCTCTGGTATCTCAGCAGACATCCAAGTCCCATGTTCCATATTCACTAATGAACAAGAACTGGTACCAAAATGGATGGTCCCACTCTCCTTTATTCCAAAGGACAACCTCCCGTAACTTTCAAAGGGCCGTGAGTACGCTTTTATCAGTGTGTTTTGGGTCCATTTGTGTTTGTTAGTTTATTCTGAGGCAAAACCTAAAAAACCTTCTGGCTGTTATGAGTCATAATTTCCATCACTTACGTGAGTCACTGAATGAATGGATGAGAATGAAAACAACGTGACATATAGTTTTAATATGGCGTTCTTTATCTATGTGACTAATACCTACAGGAGATAGATAGCTTCCTCCATTGTTTTAATCACTTCATCTTGACAAATAATGGATTATCACAAGGTGGAAGTCTGCTCTATTTAAATTTCCAAAGACTTAACTTGATTCCAAATCTTATCTGAGCTAATACTTGTTACATATGGCAAAAAACATTTCCATGTGTGACCAATTCCTGCATTGGAATTTAACCACGAACCATTGAAACAACACATTGCCTCAAAAGGTAAGAAATACACGTTAAAGACAGTATAAATTCAGAAAACTACTCTAGAAGACAAATAAAAACTTAAAATTGCATTTAGCTTCTTCATATCATCACCTTGTAGTTTTGATTTCCAACCCAAAGTAAATGACAACCACACAATGACAAAGTATTATGATAACACTCTTTATCCCCTTTGTCTCAAAAGTCTTTGTGGTTGTATTTCCCAATTTGAATTCCCAATTTTAGAATTTGGAGTTTTGTGGGGATAAGTTTACTCTTAAACGTACAAGGAAATTGTGGTAGAAGATACGTAATTTTTTGCAACATATTGTATTGTTTAAGCAAATACCATGATGTGAAACATGACTATTATCTCCAATAAAAATATTGGACATAGTGTCTTCCAACCCATCCATGAAGACAACGATCATAGCTAAAGTAAATTGGGTACAGAGAGGGAACTCCATCCTTACCTTTCACTAAAGATCAGTTCTGATTTTATAAAAGTGTGACACAATATCAGTCTGGTTTGTTTAAACTAAGATTGCTTAATTGATTCAATTGGAAATCAGTGGCTCATTTAATTCTAAATCAGTTGATAAAGCATCAAACTCTGATTATTTTCCCGCCCAGCTTCTCTGATACAACACATCTACTGAAGTCTACGTATGGTAGAATAAGCATAACTAAGTCCTGGCAACCAAATGATGAGCTTTCACCACATTAAAGAAACTGACCTTGCTAAATTTAAAACATCTGTTAATCTATCCAACTACCCAAATCTACCCAACTGTTTGTACATTTGTACACACAGCAGCTTTATTGTTGTGTGTTTTATTCTAATGTTCAACCTGTTAGAGTGGCTCATTAATTTATTTACCACTGAAAACCAAGATAAATACTATTTTCTCAAGGCTAAGTAAAAGTATGTGAAAAACGTCCACCAAATCTTGTATTCATGTAACAAAGGCAGCAGCCTAACAGGGCTGCAGTTTTTAGTCATGTCATTTTTAGTGCAGTGTGTACAAGCACAAATCAATTTTCTGTCTGTTTTTCCCAGCTTGGTTTAAAGTTTCCTTTTTGTCATATTTTACAGTGGGCAATATTTGGACTAAATGGAGCGGATTAAGCTGTTTGATTAAGTTGTTTTAACTAAACATCTTGTGTAAAAAAAATGAGAAATATTACGTGTGTGGGAAATGGATCACTTTGATATTGAAAAATGTGTAATTTTCTCTTAAAAACACTGAGTGCTTATGAGGCGACAGTATTGATAACACTGTCACTGTAAAAGCTGTCTTAGCAGTTTCAGCGGTGATGGCAATGGGATTGGTTGTTGCAGTCTGCTAACTATGCATTTCAGAGACTGCTTCTAAAAGTACTGTTGAACAGTTGTAAAACTTTTGTTGTCTTTTATTGTCAATGTCTTTCTCATACCCATTCACTGTCAGCATGCATAGACTCTCCCTGATTTCTACTCAGACAACATAAATTGAACTTTTACTTTTGTTTAGAGTGTACCTTCATCTATCGATACTTAGTGATTCCAATTAGAGTTTCTTTGTTTTGAAACTCTGAAAATCCCTCCCCCATTACTTTAAAATCCATTATCCCCATGAAGGGTCACTATTCACCTTTCTTTCTCTGCAGCTCCCCCCTGTGGCAAATCCCATATAGTATGACATCAGCACAGAGAACGTAGCTGTTCCTGTTTTAAACATATTGTAGTCTCATCTCATCCGTATTACTGTAACAAATTCATTCAGAATCCTTTAATGCTTTACTGCCACTGTACTGCAACAGGCCCTAAGTCTAAATTCCATTCATCAAGATACACTGAAAGCTGTTAAGTGGCTAAACACTTCCCCCTTGTGTCTAAAGAATTGAGAAATCCCTGCCCATCAAGACAGTTCTAAACACATTGAATAAACTTTAAGAGACTGCTTGAATGACGATTTTTGTCAGTCAAAACAGTATCTCCAACTTTCCCAAGTAAGTTCATCATACTCCATAACTCATATCCACCCGCCCATACCACGAATAATAACATAGCAGGAGGCATTTGCATTTTCTTAAAATGTTGCATAAATTATTATCTTATTAATGTCAGAGAGTAGACTGTATACACATATTGCTGGTAGCAGGTTGAGAAGCAAGCACTGTCAATGTAATTAGTCAAATTTACTGGTGGTCTCATC